AGATGTGCAATATGCAGACGGCGAAATGTTATTTGTCCATAAAAAGCAATGAAGTAATGGTGCGTGCTGCGGCGTGGATTAACCTTGAAAACACCGTTCTTGGTGAAAGCGGCGGCCATAAAAGGCCTCGTGTGGTTTGATTCCATCGTTTGTACGAGACGGCCGGCCCTCTCATCGAGCCATACTTTGTTTGCCTGCCTTGTCATCTTTTGTTGAGAAAATGGACATTTTTGCATATTATAATGCAGCGATTCTCGGAATCCGGTTCTCCTTCCCCTACCCCAGAGTGTGTGGTTTCTGCTTGTGGGTTGTAATGTCTGGATAGTGACTTTTGCAGACTCCGTTTGTAGACTGTATTCTTTGTCGTGTGTGGTCAGGGGAAATCGCTGTTCTGTTAAGCTTGCGGTCAGCTAGTGATCCGGCAGGGATTTCCTTGGACAGTGTCTTGGCATATCTCCTCGTCTTGGCAGTTGGGCTCTGGGTGGGTGTTGGGACACCCTGTTGGTTCTCAGCAGGAGTTTACATCTCTGCCTTCCCCTTCTTCCTGCTTTCACAGACCGAAGGTCAGCCAGAGGTGAGAGCTTAGAGCCTTCACGAGTGTTTTCTGAGCAGGTGCCTGCCCTGGGCACGTGGCCTTCTGGATTCCTTCAAATACGTGGAAGGTTTTCATTTTTAAAATTTTATTTCAGTGTTGGTTTCCTAGAGTCCACAGTTTACGTTAGGATTCATTCTTTGTGCTGCGTAGTTTCGTGGGTTTTGGCTAATGCAAAATGTCATGTGCCTACCATGACAGCATCATGCAGAATAGTTTCAGTCCCCTCCAAGTCCCTCCTGTGCGTTACCTATTCATCCCTCCTCCCTCCTCTGGAGCCCTGGCAGCCTCCAACCTTTTAGCGTCTCTATAGTTTTTCCTTTTCCAGAACGACGTATGGTTGGAATAAAAATCTGTAGTGTTTTTTTTTTTTTAAGTTTTTTTTTTTTTCCAACGTTTATTTATTTTTGGGACAGAGAGAGACAGAGCATGAACGGGGGAGGGGCAGAGAGAGAGGGAGACACAGAATCGGAAACAGGCTCCAGGCTCCGAGCCATCAGCCCAGAGCCTGACGCGGGGCTCGAACTCACGGACCGCGAGATCGTGACCTGGCTGAAGTCGGACGCTTAACCGACTGTGCCACCCAGGCGCCCCTAGTGTTTTCAGGCCGACTTTTTTCACTTAGCAACACACATGTACGTTTCCTCCCTGTCCTCTTGTGGCTTGATAGCTCCTCGCTTTTTATCGCCAGATAATATTCCGTTGTACGCATGTACCGTAGTTGGGTTATCCATTCTCCCATTGTGGTTGCTTCTAGTTGTTGGCAGTTATGAATAAAGCTGCTATAAAATTTGTGTGGACATAAATTTCCAGCTTACTGGGGATAGATACCAAGGAGTATGATGGCTGGATTGGATGGTGAGATGATGTTTAGCTTTGTAAGGAACTGCCAGCATGGAAGCTTTTCAAAGCCCTTACTCTCTCCAAAGCCTCTCGCTCTCACTGTCCGGCTCTTCCTCCCCGGCTTTCAGTGACATGTCTGTTGGCCCCAATTAATATCCTTTGCTCTGGGGTTGTAGCACCTGGTTCATTGCCTTTGTTTTGTATTTTTATTTTTATTTTTTTAAGGTTTAGTTTTTTTTGAGAGAGAGAGAGAGTGTGTGTGCACGAGCGGGGGAGGGGCAGAGAGAGCGAGAGGCAGACATAGGCTCTGAAGCAGGCTCCAGGCTCCAGGCTCCGAGCTGTCAGCACAGAGCCTGACATGGGCTTGAACCCATGAACCGTGACATCATGACCGGAGCTGAGATTAGACGCTTAACTGACTGAGCCACCCAGGCGCCCCTAATTTTTCTATTGTTGGGTATCTTTTTATTGAAGTATCATTAACACACACTGTTATTTCAGTTTCCATACCATATTGCCTTTGATGTTTTTTTTTTTTTTTCAACGTTTATTTATTTCTGGGACAGAGAGAGACAGAGCATGAACAGGGGAGGGGCAGAGAGAGAGGGAGACACAGAATCGGAAACAGGCTCCAGGCTCTGAGCCATCAGCCCAGAGCCCGACGCGGGGCTCGAACTCACGGACCGCAAGATCGTGACCTGGCTGAAGTCGGACGCTTAACCGACTGCGCCACCCAGGCGCCCCGCCTTTGATGTTTTTAACAAATGCCATCCCCGTGGCTGTTCTCTGCTCTCAGAAAGTTCCAAGTGAGGCAAAATCAAGGCGAGACCTTTGTGTTAGCCCTTCAGGAGCCATCCGACAGGTCAAGACAGACAACCTCAGCTGTTTGAGAACAAGGTCATCTCTGCCCCCTCCTGCACCAGGAGCCCACACCAGAACGTGCCTTCGAAATCACTGCTGAGCCAGGGAATGGGGGATAGGACAGGAGTCGGTTCAAATGCCACGGGGCCCTCCTACCAAGTTTCATTCACCTTTGACTTGCTAAGGGTTCCTTTGGTTGCTGTAAACTTTTGACTACTTTCCAGAGTTCCAGTAAAGTTGACTTTTTCACTGTTTCTGTGGTAGTATGGGTGGGAAGTTTTGAAATTGCTAACTCAGTCTTTTTATTTGTCACAGGGCTATGCAGATAGTCTGTTTCCTCTTGACTCAGTTTGGTAATTTGTGTCTTTCTAGGAACTTGTCCACTTTTCTCTAATTTACCTAATTTGTTGACATAGTAATCTTTTATAATCCTTTCTAATTTTGTTCTGAATTCTAATTTTAGTAACTTGAGTCTTTTTTACTTTTTTGTCTCTTTTTGAGTGGGGTAAATTCCAGTTGTTGAGATGTTACATAGTTTATTGTTTTTCTTTTGGTAGTTATGCTTAGATTTTTTTTTTCTTAGTGTGCATACTTAAAGTACAAAGTAAATCGTTGTCTTTTCCAAACGTTTCAAAGCCTGTATTCGTCGTTGAGCCGAGGTCTATGAGCAGTGCCTTGCCGGGAAAAGTCTGTGTTGCTCCCGCTTGAAAGCTAGTTTTCCTGGGTGTTGAGTTCTGTGCCGGCTCTCACCCTTCCTTCGTCTGCTGGCGGTGTCATTCCTTGTCTCCTAGCCTCCTCTGAGAAGTCTTCCGTCAGGCTAGTCATCATCCCCCTTTGTAGACTGTCTGCCTCCCTTCTGGTAGTTTTTAGCATTTTCTCTCTGTCTTCAGTGGTCTGCGGTTCTGCTGCTGTGTGTTGGGGAGTAAATTCATTTTTACTCTTCCTGCTCCGCCTGGCAGTGCTTGGTCATTAACCAGGTATCTTCAAGAACTGTGATCTTTAGGGGCGCCTGGGTGGCTCGGTCAGTCGAGTGTCCACCTTCGGCTCAGGTCATGATCTCACGGCCCGTGAGTTCGAGCCCCGCGTCGGGCTCTGTGCTGACAGCTCAGAGCCCGGAGCCTGCTTCGGATTCTGTATCTCCCTCTCTCTCTGCCCCTCCCCTGCTCAAGCTCTGTCTCTCAAAAATCAGTAAAACATTAAAAAATTAAAAAAAAAAAAGAATTGGGATCTTGAAGTCTGGGATCCTGTGTCCCTGTGATTCTGGAAGCTCCTCTACCATTATCTCTTCAAGATGCCGTGTCTCGCAGGGAGCCTGGCTGGCTGGCTCAGTTGGAAGAATGTGGGACTCTTGATCTTGGGGTTATGAGTTCAAGTCCCACATTGGGTGTAGAGGTTATTTAAAAGTAAAATCCTTAAAAAAGATACTCGTTTCCTGTATTCTCTCCTCTTCCCTTTTGGGATTCCTATTGGACATCGTTAGGTTTTCGCATTTGCTTCTCCATCTGTGCTCTCTCAGTTTCCTGTTCATAGTTTCCATTTCTATATCTCTCTGTGCTGAATCCTGGGGGGATTTCCCCAGATTGTTCTCTGCCAGTTCATTATGTCTGTCTTCAGCACTGTCTCATCTGTTAGCCCTTCCAGTGAGCTTCTAATCTTCAATGTCTTTCATGGACGTTTCATTTGTTTCTTTTTAAAACTGGTTGTTCCGTCCCGCGCTGACTTATTCTTTTCTCAGGCTAGGTTCTGTTGTCTCTCACTGCTCCGTTTTCTTCCCAATTCTTGGGGTTCTTCTCTAAGGCTTGGGGGCAAGAGTTTTTTCTTTTTCTTTGTTTAGTTTTCCCGTGGATGGCCTGGCTCTTCCAGGGGCCCAGGTCTCCACTGCCCGTAAGCTCAGGGCCCTGTTTTCTTTTCTCACGTGTCTGTTACGACCCCAGGTCCCAGCCTCCAGGGTAATGCACTTTAATAGGAATATAAATATGAGCCATATATAGAATTTCAAGTTTTCTGGTAGCCACATTGAGGAGCTAAGAAGAAGCAGGTGACAGTAATTTTAATAACATGCTTGACCCACTGTATCCAAAATATTATCATTTCAACGTGTAGTAATTTAGAAACATACTAAGCTTACTTTTTTTTTTTTTTTTTTTTTTTTTTTGTACTAAGTCATCCAAATCCAGTGTGTGTGTTAGACTCACAGCGTGTCTTAGTTTGGGCCAGTCACATTGCAAGTCTTCACAGCCAGGTATGACTAGTTGCCACCACGTTGGACAACAGATTCGGTATCTGAGTCTGATTTTCCCCTCAGGCCAACCTGAACTTACACGAGTTTTCTTTGCGTTTTCTCATTGTTGCTGGCACGTGGGGTTTTACCTGTCTCTTGCGCCTGGCTGTGTATTCAAAATGATCTTTTGTCATATTTCTCGTGTTTATAGCTGGAGAAAGAGGTCAGTTCAGTCCTCCATGGTGCCGGAAATCCTTTCATTTATTCCTTACAACAACCTTATGACGGAGGTGCTCTTATGCCCAGTTTACAGATGAGGAAACTGGGGCTCGTGGAGCTTAAATGACTTGCCCAAGTTCATATGGCTGTTAAGTGGCAGAGAACAGACCCAAAGACAGGTCTGTTTGAATTCCGAGTCATTGCTCTATCCGCCATGCTGTATTGCCATCTCATAATTTTGATTCCTCCTCGTTCATTTTCAGGAATTAGACATCACCAAGAGCTCTCCGTGACTCCTTACACGGCCTTGCTTGTCTGGAGAGTAGCTCTTGGCCAAGACCTGGCAGTCACGAGCCATGGACCGGTATAGCCTTGGGGACGAGGACGCCCTTCCTCCAGAGGTGCACCTCCCTTCGTTTTCCGAGAGCCAGGGACTCAATTGCAGCGACACCCTCGACCGGGATCTGGGTCCCAGTGCACGAGACCTGCTCTATGCCGGCCTGAGTGGTTTGGACCTGGACCCCAGCCTCCCAGCCCCTGACATGCCCAGCGAGGCACTGGAGGACAACTTAGACACCCTGTCCCTGTACTCGGGGAAGGACAGTGACTCTGTGAAGCTGCTGGAGGAGTATGCAGACCCAGAATCTCAGGCGTCCCTACAAGGTAAGGCTGTCCCTCTGGGCCCGAGGGCCTGGAAGACTCTGAAAGTTCCTGTGGCCAGCTAAGGGTTGATTCTGCATGGATTAGATAAGAAAACTTTTATCTTCCACGGGTGAATAGTGAACAGGGGACAATCACTTTTTTTTTTTTTAACTTGGGAATTGTTCCCAACTTCCTAGTCAAGGAAACCGAACGCTGATCCTGAGGAATAATGTCGAGAAACTTGGCTGTTCGTGGATGTCCTAATCTTGTGTGTGGTGTGGGCAGACATCTGAGTTTACGGGCCACTTTCCCACCCATCACATCTCGGGGGTGCTTTTCACGTTCCCAGGATGACCTGGGATCCTGTCCGTCCACCACTTGGTTGTCTAACCTTCCCCAGCCTCAGTGTCTTCATCCGTGAAGCGGGAGGGCAGCAGAAGGCCCGCTCTGCTCCCCAGCCCCCCGCCAGACTAACAGCACTAAGACGCAAGGGAGGAATTGAATGCAAAAGCATCGCATAGGCTGCAGAGCGTGGGACAGATCATTGTTATTTTTATCAATATCGGTAGAATTCATCTCAGGCAGCCCATTGATGCAGCTCCAAGTCTCTCTCTTCTGCGGGGGGCGGGGCGGGGGAGTGAAAGGGTAACTGATGGAACAGTTAGAAGCCTTGGTGCAATTTTCTTTTGGCTTTTTGACTTGCCTTGAGGCTTCCACTACAAGATAAATTTGGTGTTTGTTAATTCTTTTCAAGGGTTCTTGGGTAACTCGCTTAGATGAGCTAGCTGTCTGAGCTAACAGTCTTTGATATTTAGAAAAAAAATTTTTTTAATGTTTATTTTTGACAGAGAGAGAGAGCGCGCGCGCGCGCGCGCACGGGGGAGGGGCAGAGAGAGAGGGAGACACAGAATCGGAAGCAGGCTCCAGGCTCGGAGCTGTCAGCACAGAGCCCGACACGGGGCTCGAACTCACAGACCAGGAGATCATGACCTGAGCGGAAGTCAGACGCTCGACCGACTGAGGCATCCAGGCGCCCCGGCGGCCTTTGATATTTATCATCACACCTCATGCATAGAAGGCCCCTCTGAGATGGCCCTGCAGAACAGGGGTTCATGTCAGTCGGGATAAGCATTGCAAGAAATATCCCGAAGACTTGGTAAAATGAAAAACTTGTGAAGCCCCCCCCCCCTCTCCACACAAGATGCAGCAGACAAGGGGCCCGCCTCGTCACCACGTCGGAAGGCCAGAGGGCAAATCCCAGAATCCTGAGACGTGTACCTCGTTGAGGGCATTGGGCCACGCCTGGGGTGGGGGTGGGGGCCCGGCAAGGAGGGTTCTCAACCTGGCCACAGAAACTACCAGAACAACACTGGTAGCACGAATATGTGTGCATTTCACTGGGCAGAGGAGCTGGAGCTGTCACCACATTTTCATGGGGGGAGCGGGAGGGGGGCTGTGTCCCTCTCTGCAAAATATGTCACAAGTCATTACTCCAGTTCAACTCTTCCTCATTTTCCTTAAGCTTGAGTTTTTTCTTTTTACTTGTGAAAAAAAGGAGTCCCCTGAACGTTAAATTCTAACTCCTTACGCTTCTGTGACTGAAATTCAGGCCGCTCTAAACGCATACGCTGGTGTTTGTCTTCTCCGCTAGAAAGATAGTACACGGTTCTTCAACGGGAAATAGAGAAAATTGACAGCAGGAAGAATCCCCCAGCCTGGCTCTCACACGTCAAGTTTTTTTTTTTTTCAACGTTTTTTTATTTATTTTTGGGACAGAGAGAGTCAAGCATGAACGGGGGAGGGGCAGAGAGAGAGGGAGACACAGAATCGGAAACAGGCTCCAGGCTCTGAGCCATCAGCCCAGAGCCCGACGCGGGGCTCGAACCCACGGACCGCGAGATCGTGACCTGGCTGAAGTCGGCCGCTTAACCGACTGCGCCACCCAGGCGCCCCACACGTTGAGTTTTAAAAACCCGAGTGAAGTCATTCAGAAAAACATGGTTTGGCGCAGGTGTGTGAAGTGTACGAGGCTATTTGAGGTTTTTCAAACTGAGCGTATTTGCTTTTTCACGAGAAGGTAGTCCCTTGTCCTGACTTACTCCACCGTGATGTTTGACCACAGTCTTGCTTGTTAGGCTGTTCGTGTTTCTGGGAACAGCTTTTTACATGAGGAGCTTCCTTTTAGGTGAGTTCTTTGGACATACCCCTCCAAGTAGGTTTGCCCATCAGAGAATACACACCGTTTGATAACCCACTTGGCTACACCACCTTCTGAGAAGATGGGGCAGCTTCCCGGGGCCGGTGACTCTGCCCGATTTTCAGTGTCATTGCCGATTGTTTTTGAATCAGTGCTAGTTTAATAGTTGGCTTTAATGAGCATTTTTATTTTATTTTACTTAAAAATTTTTTTCAGCTTATTTATTTATTTTGAGAGAGAGAGAGAGTGAGCGGGGTGGGGCAGAGACAGAGGGAGACAGAACCCCAAGCAGGCTCCGCGCTGTCAGCCCAGAGCCTGACGCAGAGCTCGAACCACAAACCACGAGACGGTGACCTGAGCCGAAACCAAGAGTCGGATGGTCAACCGACTGAGCCACCCAGGTTCCCCGTACTGAGCATTTTTAAGGTAACTTAGCAAGGTGGAGGGCTTTTCTGACGGGAGTCCTCTTACTCCACATTTAAACTGTTGGGATCATTCAAACACCTGTCACGGTAACTTCTTACGCGAGGAGGAGGAGACCAGGCATGTTGAGGGACAAACGGTCTGTGGCAGGACAGAGCTGGGAGATGCCAGTCCAGGCTCCCTCCTGCCGTGTCTGTCACGCTGCGCCTCAGCTGGCCGCGGTCAGCCATCTGGGTCCTCCAGGCGGGCCCGCTGCCCTGGGCTGTTGGGTGCCCGGGGTCCCGGCTCTGCAGCACACTAGAGAAGTGGTGATTTCAAAGCTCCCGTCTCCCGAGGTGGTCTGAGTCATGTTGAAGACCAGCGTGAACAGCAGGAAAATCTTCCACAGTCAGACGATGGTGGAGCGTCCACGAGTGCCAGCCAGGGGGTTCTGGGAGCCGGGACACGGCAGGAGCCCGCGGGGTCCTTGCGGCCACGGCCCCTGCGTTTCCAGTGACTTGAAACCAGCTTCTCTTTAGTCAGCCAAACCTATCTCTGTCTGTCGGAGCGAGACAGAGGCAGCGAGTTCCCTCCCCACACGCCGGCCCTTGGGATACTTGACGACTTGCCCCTCTCCCGGATGAACATTTCCAGTCCCTCCTCCGGCTCCTCAGGCGAATGAGTTGCAAACGTACCTGTCATCATTGTACCCAAGGAATGCAGAAAACACAGAAGCATACTCAGAGGCCCAAGAAGAGGAAAGTAAAAGCCCGCAACCTACCAGTCTGGCCTGTTCTCTCTGTCAGTTTTCTGTTCAGATTTATTGGTCTTTCTCTGTTTTGTAACGGGCTGCTGTTTTCACACTGAGTAGTCACTTCATCAGATATTTACTTATAAAATTGTAAAGTCTTACCTTAAATGCTGTGTCTTAGATCCTTTACACCATAACGCGATCACTTGCACGCCCTTTTATCAGATAGTAGGTTGTTTCTAACAGGAAAGACAGCGCTGCCCTTAACTGCTTTGTGGCTGCCTCTTTGTACAAATCTAGATTTCTTTCTTTCTTTCTTTTTGAGAGAGAGAGAGAGAAAGAGAGGGCGTGAGTGAGTGAGGGGCAGAGAGAAAGCATCCCAGGCGAGGCGGGGCCGCCGGGAGAGAGAGAGAAGGGGGGCTTAACCCAAAGCAGGCATGACCTGAGCCGAAGTCAGATGCTTAGCCACCGAGCCACCCAGGCGTTCCTATATTTCTTTCTTTAAAATCCCCAAAGCGGGGGCGCCTGGGTGGCTTGGTCGGTTGAGCGTCCGACTTCGGCTCAGGTCATGATCTCCCGGTCCGTGAGTTCGAGCCCCGCGTCGGGCTCTGTGCTGACCGCTCAGAGCCTGGAGCCTGTTTCCGATTCTGTGTCTCCCTCTCTCTCTGCCCCTTGCCCGTTCACGCTCTGTCTCTCTCTGTCCCAAAAATAAATAAACGTTGATAAAAAAAATTTTTAAATAAAAAAAAATAAATAAACGTTAAAAAAAAATTTTTAAAAAAATGACTTTTAAAATCCCGAAAGCGCAATTGACTGGAAGAAAGCGTTTATACTTCTCTGAGGTTCCGGATTATGTCTTTCTGCTTGTCCTTCCAAGGGTGCCGTGGATGGCCTAGACACGAAGCCCGACCCGTGTTGGTCACCTTGTCCTAGAAGCGCTTCCGACCACCGCCGCCCCTCTGAGTGTGGTGCCGGAACCGAGTGCCATCCTGCAGGGGTGGCCCTGCCAGGGCCCCTTTTCTCTCTCTCATGGTTTTCTCGGCGCACAAAGCCGCTGAAGTTGGAGGGCGCGGTCCTGGAGCCTCTGTCCGTGGCCCTGACGCTCACTGAGTGCTGATTTCGCCCTGCTCTTTGATTTCCCCGGATGTCTATAACCTGCGCTCTCTCCCTCTGTTTAGACCTGGGGCCAGGCGCTCTTAAGGTGCCTAAAGAGGCTGACGAAGGAGGCAGGGCCGCCTCGGGGAGCGCGAGGAAAGGCAAGCGGCAGCACGCTTCCCCTCAGAACCCGCTTCTGGACTGCAGCCTCTGCGGGAAGGTGTTCAGCAGCGCCAGCTCCCTTAGCAAGCACTACCTGACGCACAGCCAGGAGAGGAAACACGTCTGCAAAATCTGCGGCAAGGCCTTTAAGCGCCAGGACCACCTGTATGTGGGAGTGTGGTCGGGGGGCTGGGGGCGGGGGCAGCGGGCGGGCTCCTGGGTGGCCTTCACACCTGCCCTGGGTGGGCTTCCCCTCCTGTTCCCCGGATAGATGTCTGCGACCTGCACAGGGACACAGGGGCGCGCCTCCCCTTCTCACACGGGGCCAGCCCCGCCCAGGACGGGTGGGTGGCTCCTCCCAGCCCCCAGGGTCACGCCAGTGAGGAAATCGCTGCCACGGTTTGCAGACGGGACCCTCGTGGTTTCCAGACCTGTAACGGCTCGCTCCCAAGGCAATTTTGTCACGTAGGAAATTGGGCTCACTCTTTTTTTTTTTTAATTTTTTTTTTCCCAACATTTATTTATTTTGGGGACAGAGAGAGACAGAGCATGAACGGGGGAGGGGCAGAGAGAGAGAGGGAGACACAGAATCGGAAACAGGCTCCAGGCTCCGAGCCGTCAGCCCAGAGCCCGACGCGGGGCTCGAACTCCCGGACCGCGAGATCGTGACCTGAGCTGAAGTCGGACGCTCAACCGACTGCGCCACCCAGGCGCCCCTAGGCTCACTTTTATAGAGAAATGTTGGGAGTCCCTCGTGGGCATCCGAGGAGAACAGATCCGTGTCTCATGAGGAGCGTGCATTAGAATGACGGGGGAGTGAGAGATTCTGAAATGCCTGTTTCCAGAATATGGCAGGGGAGCATTAATGCTTTTTTTAAACTCCTTTTTAAAAAAAAAACAAACTCCTGATTAAAAAATAATAATAAAGCCCATTGTAAGACTTAGTCAGAATTCCGTTTGTTCTTAATATCTTGGAAGTGATGAGCTTTTCTTGCTAGTGAGGCAGGAAAGAGAGACTTTTCTTTTTTTTTTAATTTTTATTTATTTTTGAGAGAGAGTGAGACGGAGCACAAGAGAGGGAGGGGCAGAGAGAGAGAGGGAGACACGGAATCCGAAGCAGGCTCCAGGCTCCGAGCTGTCAGCCCAGAGCCCGACGCGGGGCTTGAACCCAGAACCGTGAGATCGTGACCTGAGCCGAAGTCGGACGCTCAACCGACTGAGCCCCCCAGGAGCCCCTGACAGACTTTTTTTTTTTTTTCAAACAGAGAAACTTGCCAGTGGGTGATGACAAGCCCTTGCATTTGTATTGATGCTCCTTACCTACAGTTGGGGCTAGAAATTGGGTCTCCTGATTCCTCCTATGCAGCTTCCCTGGGCGGGAGGCCAAGGGTCGGCACTTGGTGAAGGGCGGGATCATTGACCGGAGATACCCCATGTACCACGTGGATCAGACTGTCCAGGGTCGGGCTGTTGGGAGCCTGGAGCAGGATTCCCCCCCTGGTTTATGCTTACGATACATCAGTGTGGTTAGAAGCGTGCTATAAATGCAGCACATGCTTGTATTTATTTATCCTTGCGGAAAGTACAGGAGGCACACGTGGCTGCTTTCTAGCAACTTTTTACTGATGGGACGTCTGTCATTTTCTTTGTTCGTTTGTTCGCTGGGGGTGGCTTCCAGGTAGCTGTCTCCCTAGAGGACTGTCACGGTCAGGCAAAGACTCTGGCTGGATTTCTGGGGGAAGGGTCACCCCCAGTTTAGCACCTCCTCGAGCGTATCCTGCAGACCTTCGGTCCTCAGGGATGCTCAGAGGGGCCGTGCGAGTAAGTGACTCTGTGGGCAGATGGCTTGGAGGGACACGGGAGGGTAAGAAGCGGTCTGCGTACTGCGTGGCTTTTAAATTTGCTGCTCCGAACCTCCAAGGAGCAAATCGTGGTTTTTCAAAACTTCCTTGCCAGCTGAGCCCGTGTCCTCCGGGAGCCGCCCTGGAGGACCGCTGTCCCTTGGGAACTCACTTTGGGGAACTCCAGTCTGACTTTCATTGATTTGTTTTTTTTTTCCCTCTCAGAGAAGGGGTTTGTTCACAGGTGAGGGAGGGGAGCACCCCTTCCGTCGCTTCGCCCGGAAGGGTGGCCGCCTGGGGCCTCCCTCCCGGGCGCCGAGCATGGGTTCCCGTGCACCCTTGCCTCCCCCCCCCCCCCGGGACACACTCGGGGTCCCGTGGTGAAGGGCGGCCAGGGCGCCCGCTGACCCGCGTCTCTGTGTGACTCCAGGACCGGGCACATGCTCACCCACCAGAAGACCAAGCCGTTCGTGTGCATCGAGCAGGGCTGCAGCAAGAGCTACTGTGACTACCGCTCGCTGCGGCGCCACTACGAGGTCCAGCACGGCCTGTGCATCCTGAAGGAGCCCCCCCCGGAGGAGGAAGCCTGCGGGGACTCCCCTCACGCCTGCGAGGCCGCCGGCCGGCCGGCCCCCGGCGGCTCGCGAGCCCCCGGACCCCCCGAAGCCCGGTCCCCCGGCTCCCTCCTGCCCAACCGGGACCTCCTGCGCTGCATCGTGAGCAGCATCGTCCACCGGAAGGTCCCCTCTCCCGGCCCGGCGGGGCCTCCAGACGGCGGGGAGGAGAGGACCGCGGCCCGTCCCCGCGCGCCCTCCTCCGGGCCCTCCTCGTGCACCCCCGCCGGCATGCCGGGGGCCCCCAGAAACCTGGGCACCGAGGTTCCCGAGGAGCCTCGTCCCCCACGGAAGGGGCCTGCCGCCGCCATGTTCACGGCCATCCACCGGAGAGCGGTGGAGAACGGGGGCACCGACCCGGCCGGGCCAGAGCCGCCTCTGCTCCAGCGCCCGCCCGCCCTGGAGGGCTGGCCCGAGGGCGGCCCGCGGCCGGCCCGCCTGCCTCTGTTCCGAGGCCAGACGGTCCCCGCCGGCTCCCAGCCGTCGAGCCACAACTTCCAGTGGCTGCGGAACCTGCCCGGCTGCCCCAAGAGCAAAAGGAACAACGTGTTTGTCGTCCACAAGCCCCCTTCGGTGCTGTCGCGGGAGGGCTGCGAGTCTGGCCCTGGGCCCAGCAGCACCTCCCCCGTGGGGGAGCCCTCGCCTGGCGTGGGCACCGGTCGGGAGGACGCGTCGTCGCCCTACCCTGCCACGTTCCTGAAGGCTCCCGGGGAGGCCTCGGGCGACCCCAGATACGCTGGCGGGGAAGACGGCTCCTGGGGTTCCAAGAAAAGCAAGTTTGACCGTGACTCCTTCCTGTGGCAGAACCCCGGGGAGCCCGGCCTCCAGGAGGCCCAAAAGCCCAGCGGCCTCCCGTCGGACGCCACGCCGCTCTTCCGGCAGCTCTTCCTCAAGTCCCAGGAGTCCCTGGTGAGCCACGAGCAGATGCAGGTGTTCCAGATGATTGCCAAGTCCCAGCGGATCTTCTCACAGCTCCCCGGGCCCGAGGGCAAGCAGGCCGCCCTGAAGCCGCCACCGGGGCCCTGGCCACAGCAGCCCCCGCCGCCGGCAGCCCCTGTTGACTCTCTGCACGCTGGCCCCGGAAACCCGGAGCCAGAGGGGTCCCCAGCCCGCAGGAGGAAAGCCACGCCTGCGTTCCCCAGAGAGGCCTCCCCAGGCGGCACCAGGCGGGAGGCGAAGGGAGGCCTGAAAACCGCCGCTGCTCCGCCGTCCCTCCCAGCGTCGTCACTGGACCCTCCCAGGAACCCAGACATCTCCTCTCTGGCCAAGCAGCTGAGATCCACGAAAGGGACCTTGGACCTGGGGGACATCATCTCCCCGGGGGGCCCACGGCAGACCCAGTCAGGTGGGGATGAGCCCCTCGGAGCCCCGCTCCCAGGGAAGCAGGCCCAGGCGGAGAATGGCGCGGCTCCGGGGGCCGCGAAAGGTGAAAAGAGCCAGGCCTGCGCCCGGGGCGGGGGCTACAGGCTCTTCTCGGGCAACCCCAGGTCCCAGCGCTTCTCCGGCTTCCGGAAGGAGAAGCTGAAAATGGATATGTGCTGTGCGGCTTCCCCGAGCCAGGTAGCCATGGCCTCCTTCTCGTCAGCCGGACCTCTGGCAGACCCCCCCCAGGACTCGAAGTCCAAGCTGACAATTTTCAACAGAATCCAGGTACCTGGGCCCTCCCTCACGGGGCGTGACCACGCTGGAGACGAGAGTCTCGTTGGTTCCTCGTTTCTGCGTCTACTGGTTGGCCAGCCATTGTGTTTAGTCTCAGGGAGCCCTCGGCCGCAGTTGCGCAGAGGCGGAAATGAAGGTTCGGAGAGACTGTGGGTCCTCCTGTCAACCCCCACCCCCGTTCAGTCTTCAGGGTTGTCCGAGATGCTTTCTTTCCTGGCTCCCTTTCTGCCTTTCACTTCCTTTTGGATTTGCCTCCTTAAATTGTTCAGAGGATGTAAAGGTAGAGTTCCCACCCCCGTCAGTATTTCTGCGCCTAATGCCGGGTCTTCCCTGGTGGGAGTCACGGTCCCCACGCCGACCAGCACCTGCAGAGCAGACAGTCCTTGCAGGTGGCACCCACCAGGTCTGGGCGTGGAGAGGCCGGGAAAGCAGGAGAAGGCAGAGAGAGGAGGAGAGAGAGAATCCCATGCAGGCTCCGCACCATCAGCACAGAGCCCGACGCGGGGCTCGAACTCATGAACCCGTGAGGTCATGACCTGGGCCAAAATCAAGGGACAGATGCTCAACAGACTGAGCCGCCCAGGCGCCCCCAATTCACCATTTTAAAATGCACCTTCCAGTAGTTTTCAGTATGTTCTCCAGGTCGTGCGTCCGTTACCACTCTTTGCCAGAACCCTTTCATCATCCCCAAATCCCCCACACTCTCAGTTGTCACCCCCAATCTCCATCCCTCACGGCCCCTGGCAGGTATGAATCTGCCTTGTGTCTCTCTGGATTTGCCCGTTCTGGACGTCTCGTACACTACGTGGCCTTCTGTGTCTGCCTTCTTACGCTCAGTACGAGGTTTCAAGGTTCTTGGGTGTTGCGGCGCATCCGTATTCCTTTTTATGGCCGAATAATGCTCCACTGAACGGATGTGTCACGTTGTGTTTATCCGTTCAGCAGCTGAGGGGCCTTCGGGTTGTTTCCGCTTCCTGGCCACTGTGAATAGTGCTGCCGTGAGCATTTGTGTGCAAGTTTCTGGGTGAACGTAGGTTTTCGCTGCCCTTGGGAGATACGTCGGTCCGCTTGGAATTTCTGGGTCAAGTGGTAACTCTGTGTCTAACCATCTGAGGAGCTGCCAGACTTTTCCCAAGCAGCCGCGCCATTCAGCCTCCCCACCCACGACGTCCCCACGTCCTCACCAACACTTTGCTGTCGTTTGTTGTTGTTTTTAATCGTGGCCGTGCTAGCGGGCGTGAAGCGGTCTCTTATCACGCTTGGGTGCGCACCTCCCTGTGGCCGACGATGCTGCGCACCTTTTCACGTGCTTATTGGCCATTTGTAAATCCCCTTTGGTGAAGGGTCTTTCAGCCCCTTTATCCGTTTTTAAATTGGGCCATTCGCCTTTTCGTCCTCGTGCATTATGAGTACGGGTCTCTTGTCAGGTACGTGACCTGCAGCGATATTTCTCCCATCCTCCGGGTGGTTTTTTCTCTGTCTTGATGGTCCTGTGAAGCACGGGCGTTCTAAGTTTTGATGAAGTCTGATGTGTCGATGGCTGGCTTTCGTTTTGGCGTCCCCCAAGACGTGTGCCTCCTCCACTGTCTCAAAGAATCACACCTATGCTTTCCTTTAAAAAAAAGAAAAGATTTTAGCGTTAAGTAATCTCTACACCCCGTGTGGGGCTCGAACCCACAACCCCAAGATCAGGAGCCACACGCTCCGCTGACCGAGCCAGCCGGGCGCCCCACCGCCCCCCGGCCACCCATGCTTTCTTCTAAGAGTCTTACCGCTGTCCCGTCTCCATGCCTCCTTCCTGCTGTGGTGGCTGAGATGTGTTTTCCTCTTCAGGGTGGAAATATCTACCGGCTCCCCCATCCGACGAAGGAGGAGAACGTGGCAGATGGATGGTAAGCTCAGAAGCCACTCCTCCGCCGTGCCTGGGGGGCGCTCAGCCCCTCAGATTCCTCTGGTGGCCTTTGTGTGCTGGCCCCGGGTCACCCAGTTCTGGAAGCGTCAGTCCCGAAGAGGTACACGCCCGGCCGTGAGGCGCTGCGGTGTGGTGTCCTCTCTCCAGTTCTTAGGGTTCATCGAGAGTTGTACCAGTGGATCAGATTTGAAACCAAAAAAAAAGAAAAACATTTACGATGGGGACGGAGCCCCGTTCTCGCGTTCTTCCGTCCTGCCGTGTTTCCCCACAGTAGCCAGCAAAACGGGGGCCCTGCAGACTGGGCAGAGCCAAGGAGCACTTACGTCTGCAAGAACTGCAGCCAGACGTTTTATACAGAGAAGGGGCTGGGCAGCCACATGTGTTTCCACAGCGACCAGTGGCCGTCACCTCGAGGGCAGCGGGAGCAGCAGGTGAAGGGCGCGCGCCGTGCCTTCGGGGTCTCGGGCGGGCGCTCCGTCGTGGGGACTGGATGTCATCTACTCCGGGACGGAGATGCACCCCAGGGTGGAGTCTGGGCACAGGGGGGGGGGCAGGAGCCGGGCCGAGCTGCCCGTTCACCCCTGCCGACCGTTCGTCTTAAAGAGCCACGTATCGTCCGCATCCAGGAGTTTGGCGCGGAGTTTTGCCAACCACTGAGACAGGTGCCGAGGCCGGAGGGCGACGGGCAGAGTCCCCCAGGAGCCAAGAGGTCCCCGGACAGCCCCGCCGCGGCCCCTTTGGCGGTCCCTGCGTCGCCGCCCGCAGCTCCAGTGAACCGACCCGCCGGGAGCACCGCCAAGGTGGGTGCCGGTCAGTCCGCCCGCTTCCTTCCCGCCGCTTCCCCCCTTGCCGGTGGGGGCCGCGGGGAACGCCCGAACCGAACGTCAAGAGAAACCGGGGTCGAGGAGAGCTCGCTTTGCACGGTCGTTCGGCCGTGCACATCCCCCGAGCCTCCTCTTTGCCAGCCCGCGCCGGCGCGGCTGCAGACTGTGGTGACCAGGACAGGCTCCCAGCCTGGTGAAGGAGCAGGGCTGTCCCCGGACAGTGACGAGCCGCAGTGGGCTGGGGTGGGGGGGGGGGGGGGGGGAGCAAAGGGAGCTGAGGGCGTCCTGAGGGGGCACCAGAGACTCCTGCTGAGGAGGTCAGGGGGTGTTGGAGCTGAGCTCCGGCGGGGAGGGGGCAGAAGACTGGCAGAGGGGAGGGGAGAGTGTGGAAGGTGGGAGAGAGCATCGCAAGTCCGGGTGACCCGTCTCTTCAGCCTGACCTGGAAGACCCACTGGAGAAGTCCCTGCTGGGCTCAGGGACGAGGTGCGTGGATGCCACTGCCATTTTGTCACTTTGTCGTGCCGTTGCACTGTCTCCGCCCCCCCTCCCCCTGGCCCCCGCTGTAAGAGCCAGGCATTGGAACAACTGGAGCTGGCCTCACCTGGTTCCAAATTCCTCTGAGTCAGGGCCTCTCCTTGAGGGCTCTGGGCCCTGGCTCGGGCGTGGTAGCCCTGCCCGCCTCCCTTTTCTGGGGGCTCGGGGTCACGGGTCATACTCCCCTCTGGCTCCGGGGTCCGTATTCTCGTCCCATCTCCCGCGCTCCCGAAGACGGAGCTGTGCAGCAGGTGGCCTCGTGTGAGCCCCTGTGATTGTGAGCTCTCTTCTTCCCCAGGGACAAGAGAAAGACGGGGGAGACAGAGACATCAAGGAGAGCAGCCAACACAGGAAGCGGAAGAAGCGCCCCCAGCCCAAGGCCTTGTTCGTGCCTCCTCCACCCTCGTCGCCGTCGCCGTCGCCGTCGCCGGGAGAGCCGGGCCTGGGAGGATGCCACCAGAGCTGCCTGCGGTCTCCGGTGTTCCTGGTGGACCGCCTCCTGAAGGGACTATTCCAGTGCTCTCCGTATACGCCGCCCCCAATGCTCAGCCCCATCCGGGAGGGCTCTGGGCTCTATTTCAACACCCTCTGCTCCACCTCTGCTCACGCCGGGCCCGACAAACTCATCAGCAGCATGCTTGGTGAGTGAGGCTGGGCGCCGTGATCTCTGCTCAGCGCGCAGCGGGCCTGCTGCGGGCCAAACCCTCTTCTCTTGTTGCATTTCGCCCAGAGATTCTCTCCGGCCTGTGGCCGTGTCTGGTCTGCGAGTCCCATTGCTGTCCAGAAGCGTCCAGGGACCATCTGGGACCAGCAGCCTTCTAGGTGCTTAGAATTTTACAGCCAGAAAGAAAATAGAGAGTCCGTTTAGCCTGACCACCATTCTGCCTGCCCTTTGAGTGATTTTTGACAGTTTTACTAAGATCTAATTCATGTACCATATGAGTCACCCATTTAGAGTATACGGTATTTTTTAGTTTATTCACAGGGTTGTGTGCCCATCACACGATCTAATTTTAGAGCGTTTTTTAACACCCCCGGAAGCACTATATCCATGCAGTCACCCCCCCCCCCCGCCCCCGATAGCCCCCACCTCCCCAGCCCTGAGCAACCGCTAACCTACTTTTTCTCTCTACGGATCTACCCGGTCTGGATATTTTGTGTAATTGGAATCATACGGTAGGTGACATTCTGTGTCTAGTTCATTCACTTGGCATCCATGTGCACCCATGTTACCATACGTATCAGTGCTTCATCCCTTTTCATGGCCAAATAATCCCATTGTCTGGACACACTCCATTTTATTTATCCATTCGTCAGTTGACGGGCACTTGGGTTGTTTCTGTCTTTTGGCTTCTGTGAATAACGTTGCTCATGAACATTCATGTACAGGTTATTGTTGGACCTGTGTTTTCATCTCTCTTGGGTGTATGCCTAGGAGTGCAGTTGTGGGTCATAGAGTTAGCTCTACGTGTAACCATTTAAGGAGCTACTGGACTGTTTTCCAGAATGACAGAGCCGGGGCGGAGGGGCAGAAAAAAAAAACCAAAAAAACAAAACAAACAAACAAACAAAAAAAAACAAAATGACAGAACCATTTTAAATTTCCACCAGCATTGTATGAAAGTTCCGGTTTCTCCACATCCTTGTCAACCCTTGCAACCTTTTTTTTCTTACGTAACCATCCTAGTGTGTGTGTAAAGTGGTTTTGATCTGCATTTCCCTGATGGCCAATGAGACTGAGCATCTTTCCATGTGCTTACTGTCCATTTGTAATCTTTTCAGATCCTTTGCCCAGTTTTTGAATTGCGTTGTTATCTTTTTATTACTAACTCGTAAAAGTTTCTTTCTGTATTCTGGAATTAACCCCTTTATCAGATATACAGTTTGCAAATTCTCTCCTATTGTGTGCCATCTCTTTATCTGTGGTCTTGTTTGCAGTACTAAAGTTTTAAATTTTGATGAAGTCCAATTTGTTCTTTGTCCCTTGTGCTTTTGATGTTGTAGCTAAGGTTTTGCCTAACCACAGGTCACAAAGATTTACTTCTGTGTTTTCTTGTGAGTTTTATTATTTTAAGTCTTAAATTTGTTTGTGACCCATTTTAAGTTAACTTTTACATATCGTATAAGGTGGAAGTCCAAATTCATTCTTTTGCATTTGGGTATCACTTGTTCTAACACCATTTGTTGAAAAGACTGTTCTTTTCCTGTTGAATTAGCATGGCACCCTGTGGAAAACCAATTGGCCATAAATGTTTTGAGATTTTTCTTCTTTTTTAATACAGACATTTATAGCTATAAACTTCTCTCAGAGCACTGTTGTAGGTACATTTCATAAGTTTTAGTATGTTTTATTCTGATTTTCATGTATCTCAAAAGTATTTTCTAGTTTTTCTTTTATTAATTTTTTTTGATAACACTGATTAAGGCGTGCATTCGTTAATTTCCACATATTTGTGAATTTTCCAAATTGCCTGTTTTAAACTGATTTTGAATTTAATTCTGTTGTGATCAGACAACATATTTTGTATTCAGTGCTTTTAAGTTTTTTGAGGCGTTTTTATGGGCTAGAATGTGTTCTCCCCTGGAGAATGTTCCATGTGTACTTAAGAAGAGTAGGGGCGCCTGGGTGGCGCAGTCGGTTAAGCGTCCGACTTCAGCCAGGTCACGATCTCGCGGTCCGGGAGTTCGAGCCCCGTGTCGGGCTCTGGGCTGATGGCTCAGAGCCTGGAGCCTGTTTCCGATTCTATGTCTCCCTCTCTCTCTGCCCCTCCCCCGTTCATGCTCTGTCTCTCTCTGTCCCAAAAATAAATAAAACGTTGAAAAAAACAATTAAAAAAAAAAAAAGAAAAGGAGCTTGCTGGATGTGATTCTTGGTTGATAGTTTTTTTACTTCCAATAGTTTGGGTATGTTATCCCACTGCCTCCTGACTGCCATTGTTTCTGACGAGAAGTCTGCCGTTACTCTGACTGGGGTGTTCTTGCACGGAATAAGTTGGTTTCCTCTTTGTCCTTTCAAGATCTCTTTATCTTTGGCTTTCAACATTTTGCCGAAGATGTGTCTGGATGTACATCTCTTTGTGTTTTTTCTATTTAGAGTTTGTAGTTTCTTGGATTTCTAGATCTTTTTTCTTTCCTTTCCTTTCCTTTCCTTTCCTTTCCTTTCCTTTCCTTTCCTTTCCTTATTACCAAATGTGGGAAGTTTTCAGCTGTTGCATCAAAGCCATGATTCGTATTTTTCTGCCGCTCCTCCTCTTTTTCTGGTACTCTCATTACGAGTATTTTGCTGCGTTTAATGATGTCCCACATTTCTCTGAGGCTCACTCCGTTTTCCTCCATTCTTTTTTTCTCTCTGTTCTTCAGATTACATAATTTCCATTGATCTTGGAGTTTGCTGATCATTTCTTCTGCCAGTGCAAATTTACCATTGACCTCATTTTGGTTATTGTATTTTTTTATTTTTTAAATATTTTTTTGAGAGAGTGCGAGTGGGGGAGGGGCAGAGAGAGGGGGACAGAGGATCTGAAGTGGGCTCTGTGCTGACAGGCTAACAGCCGCGAGCCGGATGTGGGGCTCGAATTCATGAACTGCGAGATCATGACCTGAGCACAAGTCGGACCCTCGACCGACTGAGCCACCCAGGTGCCCCTATCGTACTTTTTTAACCCCAGGACTTCCATTTGGTCCTTTCTTATATATTCTGTCTCTTAATGGTATCCTGTCTTTGTTAGAAATCTTTATCATACCTTCCTTTAGTTATTTAAACGTGGGAACTGTGGGCAGAGGAAACCTGTCTCCTTGGCTGCACCTGCCTGGAGTAGGGCACTCTGGGCAGAGCCCCTGTTACACAGAGCTGGCAGGGGTGGGTGGGTAAGTGATGGGCGGATGCCACAGACTCTCGCTGTTCTTACCGATATTTAGTCGCTTTCTTGAATGGGTATTTTGTAAAATGCTGTATGCCTTTAGGACAGCTTCCAGGGACTTTCACTTACTGTTCTTTAAAATAATTTTTATCGGTGAATTTGTTGTTCTGCTGAGTCCCTTACTCTGCTTTTTGGAAGTCCAATGCCCCTTCGTGCGA